ACTCTGGCTCATGTGGTGTCAGAGACTGAACATGGTATTCTGCATGCAGAACAGGTACTCAGCCTCTTGAGCTATCTCTCTGGCCCTTCCCATGTTTTGTTGTTGTTGTTGTTTGTTTTATTTATGCATTCAACTGTGTTTTGGGCCATACAAGATGATGCTCAGGGGATATTCCTGAATCTGTGCTAAGGAGTGACCATTGGAGGTGCTCTGGTACTATCTACACTACCTGGGACTGAACCAACATTGGGCCACACCCAACATTGCTCAGGAATTACTCATGGAGGTGCTCAAGGGACCATATGGGATGCTGGGGATCGAACTCTGCTGTGAGTAAGGCAAATGCTCTGGTCCCAAGGCAAGCACCTTAACCCCTGTACTATCTTTCGGCAACCCCCCACCCCTGGCTCGCACACCCCTCCATCAGTTTTAAACAAAATAAAACCAGTGCTGAGGAAATAGTTCAAAGGGTGGAAGTAGATGATTTTTATGTTGGAGCCCAAGATTTGATGCTCGGCACCACACAGTACCTCTAAGCAGAGTAGCCTCTGAGCACTGCTGGGCATGACCAAAAATACAAACAAAGTTACAGATTAGGAGGAAATGGGGGGCATGAGAGATAGCTCTGCAGAGGGAGTACATGATATGTATGCAGGAGGGCAGGGTTTCAACTCCCAGAACCACAAAACAAAACACAAGGGGCTGGAGAGATAATATAGGGGCTAAAACACCAAAACCAATATAAAAGTTTCCTTCATAAAAAAATAATACAAAGGAATCACAAATCCAGTGACTTGCATGACAAACTGAACAAGTTAGAAATATTTTTCTTTTATTAAAAATATAACATAAAACTTAGCAAATATTAAATATTTAGGCATCAAAGACATTTTTCCATAAATATAACTTTAAAAATAGCAATGCATATATTTTAGGTTTGTGCATCTTTAGGAAACCAGTGGTCTTAGAATATAAATATATACATATATTTACACATATTTTAATTTTAAAAGCCTTTTAAGGGTTAATTTTTAACTCTCTACTAGAGGAACTTTCTGGAATTATATATTTGCTTTCTTGATTGGAAAAATAAAGGTGTTCTTAGTCCGCTGGCACCTTTTTAACCTACGGAATACTATCCTGTAGAGCAATCTCTTAGGTCATTTCTCCCATCTTAGAGGTGTCTCAGTAAACCAAGGGGTATATCCTCTAGCCTGATTTCTTAGAGGCTTCACAGTCTCCTAATTGTGAAATTGGTAAAGTCATACTGCTAATTAGGTGTTCAATAACAAAAAGGTTTCTGTAGCAGCTTTGTGTGTTTACTCTTCAAAATATTTGGCATAAAAATCTGTAATCATACAGCTGAATACTATTAAAGAGCTTAACTCTTAAGTAATAATCACAGGCAGAAATCAGTTTTGTGTTTTTTTTTTATCGACATATGATGGTTCTTTGTGTTGTGCCCTGTTATGGATACTTGCTTGCTCTAATTTCCAAAGAAGATAATTATCCTCGTAATAAAATCTTTCTTACAGAAGAACTGGAAGCATGAACTAAGTCATCAGAGGATTAAAAAGTGTGAAAAAGGGGCCTCCTGTTCATGCCAGGGAAGGCAGCAAGTTGAAGCAATGTCTTGAACTTCCTGAATGCTTGAACTGCTTCACAAGTAGAGTCATTTACTGTCTGCACCAGGAACAAGATAAAGCTGAGGGGTCTGAAGGGCATGAGAAGGAATTGTCAAAAGAAGTGCTGAAATTAGATGTTTTGGTGTCATATAAGGCAGAATTTTTCTGCAAGATACAAATGTTTTAGTTTCTAAGAAAAATAATGTCACTAATTTACTAGTAATATTGTATTAAGTTTATATGTAATATGTATTCTTAGAAACAAGAATAAAAAAGAAATATAATGATTATGTGTTGTTGAGTTTGCTTTTTAGTAGAAATAAAAATCCTTTGGCTGGGGATGTGCCTCATGCCTTGCATGTGCTAAGGCTTGGGTTTGATCTTAGCAACACAAAATGGATTGCTAAATTGAAGATATCGCAAATTTGGACTCAAGGTTATTTTTATCTATTAACAATTGAAAGAAGAAATGTACCAGTTTACATTTTATTCGTAAGAAGATATTTATCTCCTGTACCCAAAAATGAATAAAAAATTTTTATGGGGGCCACATCCAGCAGAAGTTGGAGGGCTCAGGCCACTAATCTCTAGTGGCTCTGGGGGACACCAAAACAATATCCTGTGATTCTTGTGGGCTAATGTGGTGCTGGGGAATTAGTTCAGCATTATTTATGGTGGGATTGTGCTTACTTCTTAAAATAGCCCCTAACCCATGAATCAGTTTTTTTTTGTGGGGGGGTTGGAGCCACACATGGTAGTGCTCAGGGCTTTATGCTCAGAGATCACTCCTGGCAGGGTGTGAAGACGATACAAGGTGCCAGGGATTGAATCTGGGTAAGCCACATGCAAGGCGAGCAATTTACCTGCTGTACTATCACCCTAGCTCCATAGATTTTTTTTTTTTTACATTCCAAATTTCTGGGAAAGATCAGAAAATAATTTCACAATTACTTAGAATAGTGAAACAATGTAAATTAAAAAAATGTAGAACAGCAGACATGTTAGTTCAGGTATACAATGAGATTTAAAATCCAGATAAAAATGTATTAAATTATGCTTTTATAAACTTGCTGAAAATAATGCTGTGGAGATCTGGAAAATTTAAGAAATGGAAGAAATTAATAATGCCACATTTTTCCCTAAAAGAATGAAAGGGACCGAAGAGATAGTACAGCGAATAAGGTGTTTGCCTTGCACACAGCTTCTGGGGTTTGATTCCCTGTACCCTATATGGTCCCCAGAGCACTACTAGGAGTGATTCTTGGGTGTAGAGCCAGGAGTAACCCCTGAGCATTGTGAGTTGTTCAGCCTCCCTTCAAAAAAATCAACACTATACTAAAAATATTATATTATGTTTCTACTTTTTCCATTATTTCTTTTTTCCTCAAAAGTCCTAGCAGGGTATATTCCCAAGTTTGGCTCACCAGTTTTTTTTTTTTTTTATAAATGGAGGAGGCTTTCCAAAGCATGTATAGGAAAAGAGAGACAAAAGAAAAAGCTAACTAGTGTTGGCCCTTTCTAAAAAAATTTGTATTCTTGTTTCTGTCAACTTTTAATTTTTATAACTTAGCCATGAGTAAAATCTTATATTGAGAATAAGATTAAAACAGGATATAAGCAAGGGTTTCATTTTTGCCTAAATTTGTACATGTTAACTTTATTTTATTTATTTATTTATTTATTTATTTATTTTGGCTTTTTTGGGTCACACCTAGCGATGCTCAGGGGTTACTCCTGGCTTTACACTGAGGAATCGCTCGGGGGACCATATGGGATGCTGGGAATCGAACCCAGGTGGGCCGCGTGCAAGGCAAACGCCCTACCCGCTGTGCTATCGCTCCAGCCCTTGTACATGTTAACTTTAGAGAGAAAAAAAATCACTACCTCTAATGGAATTATAACTAGACAATCCATCAAAGAAAGGCAGTTAACTTCTGACACTCCAAAAATGAAGGTAAGTGCTTTCTGCTACATAACAGTAAAATCTTATCATACTTTATATTTTCCCACAATCTTCACTTTTCTTCAATTCTATTAAATCTCTGAGCCCTTGTTCCCCAATATTTGAGAATTTCTCACAATTCAGAGCCTGCTTTTGTGGGTAATTCCCATATATCATCTAGAGTTTCTTCCCTTCATTAGCTCCAGAGGAGCTCAGTTAAGGAGCTGAGGAAAGAAAGCCAAACTCTTCGCATGGGAAGGACTCTGAATTTAGAAAGAAAATGATCAAACCCCAGAAAAAAATGGCAAGATCTAGGAGGATCCCAGCATTATTTCAGTCCCAATAAGCATGATTATTTTCTACTTTAATAACAAAAGTGATAGTGGAAGATTGCTAGTCAGACTGAAACAGTCCTGGAGCATCTTGCAATCCACTTATTTAGGTGAAGTAAAGCCCCTCTTTTGTGGGCTGTCCTAATAATCCATGCTTCCAGTTTCTTTCAAGTTTACTCTTTAAGAGAAGAAGAAAGCTTTAGAAAAAAGTGCAAATATTTGTTAAGATTCTGCTGACAGAAAAATAACTACTTTCTTTCATTTTATATTTTCTGTTTTCAATCATTTACTTTAATCCCCAGGAAAGAATAAAAGATGATTTGACTGTGTTTGAATAATATCTTCCTGGACTATCTATCTTCCTCATATTTTTGGTATGATTTGCCTTAAAGAAGGAAATACGTATTTACATATATAGGTATAAATATTTATGTTGCACAGTAATGTAAACATATTTATGTGATTGGTTATATACATACATATATACATACTTTAATTTTTATATGTTAATTAGTGTAAAGGGAACAAAATATAATGGTCTTTATGGTAATATGCCAAGAAGACAGTAAGGAATGTGATCTATATCTACACCTTGTAAGCATCATACTGCATACCTTCACCAAACATTCTAGGCTATAGCTACACAACTTAAGCTAAGTAAATAGACACATATTAATTAGAGAATTTGTATTTGCTCTAATTGTGGAACAGAATTTTCTTTTGCTTCAAAGTTCCACCCATACAAGTTGACTGGCCCCATATTCTTGGACACTAATGCTCCATTTAATTTGGTGTTAAGTTCACTAAAATCTGAAGAGACACAGTTTTCCACAGAATATTCATTTCAGTTTTGGATTTGTCTGTAGCTTATATACTAATAGTGATAGTTGTTTCTAAAATTTTATGCAGCTTTGGATTCTTAGGTTACTTGGGTAATAGGAAAAAAGTTGTATGTATATATTATAATCTATAATTATTAAAAAATTTAAAAATGAAAAATTAAAACATTTTTAAAATGTATTTTTTGAGTGTAGAAAAGTACAGCTTTGAAAGATGAGTTTAGCGAGGTATTCTCCAAACGCGAGGAAGATTTCTGAGTATTTAGGAAGAGAGAGTATTCACGGCCAGATACAGGACCTCCTTATGGAAGTTAGCCTGAGCATGCACAAGATGGAACAAATTCAAAAAGGTTCTGTCATCTTCATCACGATCTCCTATAAGTCATACACAGGAATGGGAAATTGGGAAAAGGACAGTTAAATATTTTAATCTATGATTAATTTGAAACTTGATGTTCTGATTTTCCTTAATTTATAACAGAAACTACTTAATGACTTTTACTAAGCCAGACATTAGTCACTGAAATTTATAAATTCCATAGCCATGGAATTTAATAACTCTTTAAACAGAAGTAAGAAGAAAAGAATGCTGATCCATGATTTCTCTCTCTCTCTCTCTTTTTTTTTCTTTCTGTATCACACCTGGGAATTTTCTGTCTTAAGTGGAAATAAGAATGCTTGGGGCTGAGGCTGGAGTGATAGTACAGCGGGTAGGGCGTTTGCCTTGTACACGGCCAACCCAGGTTCAATTCCCAGCATCGAATATGGTCCCCCAATTACCACCAGGAGTAATTCTTGAGTGCAAAGCCAGGAGTAACCCCTGTGCATCACCAGGTGCGACCCAAAAAAGCAAAAAAAATTAAAAATGAAAAAGAATGCTTGGGACTGAAGTGATAGTATAGCATGGGTAGGGAATTTGCCTTGTACATGACTGACCCAGGTTCAATCTCTGGCACCCCATATGGTCCCCAGCTCACCCTTGAGTACTGCTGGGTGTGGCCTAAAGATCAAAATTCAAAGGGAAAAAGAGAATGCTGTTTACTCATACCGTGCATCATCTTCGTGCATACTCACCAGACATAACTGTCTGCAGCATTTCCATTGTAAGACATGCAAATGCATTTGCCACATTCTGTAGGAAGTTATTTCTTTCCAGTGGAGTGCTAAAGACTTTACAGACTTTTTGCATCATTTTAACTGCCCAATCCATACAGTATAGTTCTTTCTCACACACCTGATTTAGACATACAAAGCATTATTTCTTCAATATAAGGAAAACTGTAGATTTTTACATGGTGGAAATCATAAAATAATAGTTTATGACTTCATTTACTTTAATTATAAATATTACATCATATTTAGCCTATAAATGGTAATTAATCATATCTAAAACTCCTGTTATATAGTCCAAGTTAGGGCTGGAGAGAAAATACACCAGGTAGGGCACTTGCTTAGCACGTAGCCAATCTGGGTTCCATCTCTAGCAAGACATATGGTCCCTGAGCGCTACCAGGACTGATCCCTGGGCACAGAACCAGGAGTAAGCCATAAGCACCACTAGATGTGGCCCCAGAATTCACTGTCACTGTCACTGTCCTCCCGTTGTTCAGCGATTTGCTTGAGTGGGCCCAGTAACATTGTGAAATTTGTTGTTACTGTGTTTGGCTTATCGAATATGTCACGGATGTGCTTCCTTCGATAGCTCGGTTGGCTCCAGAATTAAAAATTAATAAATAAATGGTACAATTCAGGGTTGGGACATGGCTTAGTGGTAGAATACATGCCTTTCCTGTGTGAGGTCATGAATTTGATTAGGGTACTCCAAAAAAAGAGAGGATATTGGGACTGGAGAAATAGCACAGCGGGTAGGGCGTTTGCCTTGCACGCGGCTGACCTGAGTTCGATTCCCAGCATCCCATATGGTCCCCTGAGCACCACCAGGAGTAACTCCTGAGTGCAGAGCCAGGAGTAACCCCTGTGCATCGCCAGGTGTGACCCAAAAAGCAAAAAAAAAAAAAAGAGGATACAATTTTTGGGCTACATCTGGCAGTGCTCCAGAGCTACTCTTAGCACATTGCTTAGTGATTGCACCCTGCACTGCTCAGGTGACCATGTGTTCTGGGGATCAAACCTGGGTCTTTGGTATATAATAGCCTGTGTTTTAACTCTTGGAGCTACCTCCCCAAGCCCATACAAAACAATTTTAATATTGTTTAGTATTGAAAAATATGTAAATTAAATAAAAGACTGATTCAAGATTGTCAGAATATTTACTAATATAAAATATTGAAAGATTATTGAATATATGAAAAATGAGAGTTCTATTTTGCAAGTATTAATGATCATATATTGTGACACATTCTAAGACACTCCCTACCCATTTTCCATCATTACCACACCATATTTGATGGGGTTCAACAGTAGGCAACAAATAATAGAGGGATATATGTGTATACATATATGTATACAAACATGTGCTTCTCGGAGAGCTTGGCAAGCTACTGAGAGTATCCCGCCCACAGGGCACAGCCTGGTAAGTTACCTGTGGCATATTCGATATGCCAAAAAAGTAACAATAACAGGTCTCATTTCCCTGACCCTGAAAGAGCCTCCAATCATTGGGAAAGATGAGTAAGGAGAGGCTGCTAAAATCTCAGGGCTGGGATGAATGGAGACATTGCTGGTGCCTGTTTGAGTAAATCGATGAACAACAGGATGACAGTGAGGCAGTGATGTTGTGAACTGAAAATATAAGGGCAATCTGTAAAGACACAACTTAGATTTTTGGGTCACACCTGATGTTGCTCAGGGCTTTCTCCTGACTTTGTACTCAGGGAATCACTCCTGGTAGGGCTTAGGAGATCATATGTGGTGCCAGGGATTGAACCCAGGACAACCCTATGCAAAGCAAGTGCCCTACACACAGTACTGTTGCTCTGGTCCCCCAGCTTCTATTTTTAAGGAGTTATGAAGGTCACAGATAAATAAGCAGGAGTACTCTATGACTTTTTTTCTTTCTGTGTTTTAGAGACACACCTGTGATGCTCAGGGGCTATTCCTGGCTCTGTGCTCAGGAATTACCCTGGAGGTATTCAGGGGACCATATGTGGTGCCAGGGATTGAATTGGGGTCCAGTCCTGGGGTACAAACCCCAGGTCTACAGCATATCAAGCATGTGCTCAGACCACTGAGATATCTTTTCAGCCTAAATACTTATTCTTATAAAGTAATATGAATATTATTTAGTTTTTTTAGAGCAACTCCCTGATGAAACAATTGTAATAATAAACAACTTGATAGAGAAAAAGTTGATTTTTGCTTACCAAAGCCAAAAAAACTATTAGCCTTGCTAGTTCAATGACCCGTCCATTCACAGCTTTACTAGCCATGAAGGTGAAACAGATGTTGTTTCCACTTAGGATCAGTAGACGTGCATTATTCTCTAGAAGCCATTCCCGGGGAACCACTTTTATTAGAAGAAGAATAGTTTCTTAATGAGAAATTATACACAGCTATATAAAACATCATTAAATACACTATTGTATCAATTCATTAGAAATACAATTTCCATCAAGGGACGAACTAGATTTTCAATTACACCAACCAAAGAGAGATTACTGCCATGTCAAGGTAGCTCTTACAAATAAATGTACTTGGAATAACTCAAAGCATTTCTACTTCACATGGATCAATAGGTAAGGTGGTATAATATTGTGTAAGAAAAGAAATCCTGTAAACTTTACAACCTAAAGGAATATGCAGGAATGGGAAAATGTTTCACCTTTCTTGTACCATAGGAGAGGGTATTCTAAAACAATCTAAGAGGTGTATTGTTTTGTTTTGTTTTGGGGACAACACCCATTGGTTCTCAGGGCTTACTCCTGAGTTTGAGTTCAGAGATCACTCCTGATGGGGCTTGGGGGACCATATGGGATGCTGGGGATTGAACCACAGATGGATGTGTACAAGACAACCCACTGTACTTCTCTGACCCCACAGTCTAGGAGGGTGTTTCTGAGAACTTGCAAAATGGGATGAATTGAGTCAGTTAAATTTTGCTGTTTTGGGGACAGGGGCAGAGATGATAGTAATGCTGGGAGGGTGGGGTAAATAACATTAACAAATACTGTAAGATTTTTTTGGTTTGTGGTACACATCCAACTGTGTTCAGGGCTTACTCCTGGCTCTGCATTCACTCCTGGTAGTGACAGAAGTACCATATGTGATGCAGGAGATCGAACCCCCATCAGTAGTGTATAAGGCAAGCACCAGCTCCTGTAAAACCTTTTGTAATTATGCTTTTTTCAATAATAATACCAACAAATGTATATTTATTAAATTGGTTTGGTTCCCACCACCACTATATATGTGTGTGTATATATATATATGTATAAATATATACATACAAGTTAAGGAAAATTAGCTGATTATGTACATCTTTTTCAAAAATAATGCTAAATTCTTTATTGCTGATTTTTCGGTCCTCAGGGTCACTCCCAACAGTGCTCATAGACTATACGCAGGGTAATGCTCGAGTAAGCATATGGTGCTAGGATTAAAACCTGATTTCCTGAATGCAAAGCATGTGCTTAACACATTGAGTTATTTCTCTGACTTCCAGACTCATTGTTTATTTATTTATTTGTTCACTTATATTTTGGGGCCATACTCTGCAGTGCTCAGGACTTTATCCTTGCTCTACACTCAGGAATCAGTCCTGGTGAGGTTTGGGGATCATATGTGGTTCAGTAATCAAACCCTGGTGACCGCATTCAACGCAAGTGCCCTACCTATATCACTGCCCTGCTAGCCCCATCTTTATTTCTTTTTTTCAAGCGGAACCACACCAGGCAGTACTCCTAAGCGACTTGAGGCTTGGTGTTTCGGGGGTGCTGCTGGTGAACTTCTGGATAACCATGAGGTGCTGGGATTAATCCCAGGGTTCCTACATGCAAATTATATACTCCAACCATTTACTTTTTCTCCCTGGCCCATAATACCAAGCTCTTTAAATATTTTCGAACATTCAGTGATTTCCAATAGGCAATATGTTCTTTTTAGAATTATCTTTATAACTTTATAAGTATAATCATAAATTTCTATTACAATGTGGTAAATATATTTTTTTACCTGATAATTCATCCACAAGACTTATAACATCATCTGCTGTCCATTCTTTGGTGCCTGTTTCATATAATAATTTAATGGCATCTGCCAAACCTTTTAAACTGGATTCATCTGTAGGCCCTTCTATCATTTTCTGCCAAACAACCTGTCCTGAATGGTAATTAAAACAAAATTAGGATTTGAAAGAATAATTGGCTTTGTGATAAAGATTTCATGGCTTTTTTAAAAAGGAAATTAAATTGCATAATGGAGTTCACTAATAAAACATATGCTACTTTCAACTTTTATAATGAAAGGTCAGTTCTGATAACAGAATAAATTTGAACACCTCTGACTGATGAGATAAACAGTGATAATAGCTAAATGAAGTAAAGCAGTTTCACTGAGTGGAATAATGCTTCTATTTCAAAAACAGTGCTACTCCTTAACAGAAACTGGAAAAAATAATTGATATAAACTTACTAAATTAAAACATACTGGTCTTTTCCCAAAACAAGGACAGGCTGTATGGGAATTTCCCAAACATTCATAGCAAAACAGGGCAATCCAGTTAATGTTTTATTGTTTACCTAATAACAGTATTTTTTGTGAATTTAACACATAAGACTTAATCTTAGCCCAGATTTTTTTTTTCTTTTTGGGTTATACCTGGCAATGCACAGGGAGTTATTCCTGGCTCTGCACTCAGGAGTTACTCCTGGTGGTGCTCAGGGGACCATATGGGATGCTGGGAATCGAACCCAGGTCGGCCACATGCAAGGCAAATGCCCTACCCTCTGTGCTATCTCTCCAGCCCCCCCAGATTTTTTTTCTGCTGCAACTCAATATGCTTTTTTTCTTTTTTTTTTGAGGGGGGCCCACACCCAGTGATGGTCATGGGTTTCTCCTGGCTCTGAGCTCAGGAATTACTCCTGGTGTGACTCACAGGAAACATATGGGATGGTGAGGATCAGACCCAGGTCAGCTGTGTTGCAAGGTAAGCACCCTACCTGTTGTACTATTTCTCCAGCCTCTCGATATATTTTATTTATTTATTTTTGTTTGTTTTTTGGGTCGGCGATGCCCAGGGGTTACTCCTGGCTTTGCACTCAGGAATCACTCCTGGTGGTGCTCGGGGGACCATATGGGATGCTGGGAATCGAACCTGGGTCAGCCGCGTGCAAGGCAAATGCCTTACCTGCTGTGCTATTGCTCCAGCCTCTTGATATATTTTAAACTGGTTACTGACTAACCTAAGTCTGTGTGGACTAAAAAGAAATACATGGTGCACTGGAGTGACAATACAGTGGGTAGAGTGCTTGCCTTGCATGTGGCTGACCTGAATTCAATCTCTGACATCCCATAAGGTTTCCTGACCCTGCTAGAAGTAATCCCTGAGTGCAAAGTCAGGAACAATTCCTGAGCACCAATGGGTGTAGCTCTCAAACAAACAAAAGAAATACATGATAATTTTACATGTTTGTTTTTGGACTACACCAGTGGTGCTCAGGGGCTATTCATGGCTTGGTGCTTGGGTGGGGGGGGGGTGGTCACTTTGGTGGTGCTCAGAGGATCATGTGGTGTCAGGTTTACACCTGGGCATCCTACATGCAAAATATACACTCTAGCCCTTTAAGCTATCTCTGTGGTCCCAACATACTAATTCTAACATTCATCTAAGTAAAACTTAATTAAAAAGGCAGAAAAAAATTGCACCCAAACCCAACCCTCAAATAAAAAAGTCATATAATTAAATAAAATAAAATATTAATTTTGACTACCATTGTGCCTTACTGGCACCTAGTCCCCTCCAGCAACAAACATAATATTGAATGAGTTAGGATAATGTTTAAAATGAAAAGTAGTTATTTTGGGTGATGATAGGAATATATTTGGTAATAGCCTGCAGCAGAATAATTTATTTCTGAAAGCTTGAGTTATGCACAAGTTAATATAGTATCATCTGTGAAATTATAAAACACAGTTTAGTTATCAGGAATAATGAAACTGAGTGTGTATGAGGAGATATGCTTCTCAAAGTAAAAGTAACCATTTTGTAGCACAATCATTAAACAAATGGTTGCTCACCATCTTGAGGCGATACTGGTCCAAAGATGATATATAGTAACCTTGCCTGATTCACCATTGGCCATGGTTTTAATATACGTGTCAACCAAAAAGCAGAGTCACTGCGATGTGTCCAGTGATCAAGCAGAACATTCCTACAGAAGAGTCGGATTCTTAACTCCAGTTTTCGAGCATTTCCTACAAAAATGAAAAATAAAATGTAAACAATTTTCCCTAGAAAACTTGATTTGGGATAGAAGAGGCAGTATAGTGGGTAAGGCATCTGTCTTCACATGCCCAACATGGGTTGATTTCCAGTACCACCTGGGTACTACAGGGCTGGAGTGATAGCACAGCGGTAGGGCGTTCGCCTTACAAGCGACCAACATGGCCGACCCGAGTTCGATTCCTCCGCCCCTCTCGGAGAGCCCGGCAAGCTATCGAGAGTATTCAATATGCCAAACACAGTAACAACAAAGTCTCCAATGGAGATGTTACTGGGCCCGCTCGAGCAAATCGATGATCAACGGGAGGGTACTACAAGAAGTGATCCCTGAGCACAGAGTTAAGTCAAGAGTTAAGTCTTGAGCACCCCTGGTTATGGAGCCCCCTCTCCCAAAAGTTGATTTGAATACTGAATAGTTAAAAGAAATACATTGTTAATATGCATTGTACTGAAAGTGCAACTTTAATTTTCCTTATTAATAGCAGGGGGCTAAGTTTTTTTCTTTTTTTTTTGGTTTTTGGTTTTTGGGTCACACCTGGAGATGCACAGGGGTTACTCCCGGCTTTGCACTCAGGAATTACTCCTGGTGGTGCTCAGGGGACCATACTATGGGATGCTGGGAATCTAACCTGGGTCGGCCGCGTGCAAGGTAAATGCCCTCCCCGCTGTGCTATTGCTCCAGCCCCTAGTTTTTTTTTAAGTTGTCTTGAGATAAAATTTATATACCATACAATTTACTCATTTAAGGTATGGATAGTTTTTTAGCATATTCAATAAGTGTAAACCTCACCAAGTAAATTTTAGACCTTTACCTCTTTCCTTTTTCTTTTTCTCGCTCTCTCTCTTTTTTTTTTTAAATTTTTGGGCCACACCTGACTATGCTTAGTGTTTACTCCTAGCTCTGAGCTTAGGGATCACTCCTATAAGTCTCAGAGGAACTTCTGGGGTGCTGGGGAATTAACCCAGGGCAGCACATTTAAAGAAGGCAAGCACTCTACTCTCTGTACTATCTCTCCAGGCCTAATAAATTTTATTAGCTTGTGGGGCTGGAGTGATAGTATGGAGGTTAAGGCACTTGGCTTTGCATACTGCTGACCCTAGTTTGCATCACATATAGTTCCCTGAACACTGCCAGGGCTCACTCCTGAACACAGATAGGAATAGCCTGCAAGCACTGCCAGTGTGGCCCAGAACCAAAAAAAAATTTTTCTGATCAAGGGTTGGACAGGACAAATGAACTTTCTTACTGTTTTATTAGGTTTTCAAACGTGTTTTTTTTTGGGGGGGGTGAGGGCACATCTGATGGTGCTCATGAGCTACTCCTATCTTAGAGTTCAGGAGTCACTTGGGGCAGTATTTGGGGAACCATGAGGTATCAGGGATTAAACCCTGCTAGCAAAGGGCATACACTACCCTATAACTCTCTCTCCAGCCCCCAAACCTGCCTTTTTTGTGTGCAGAGAAGCTTCTTCCCAGTCAGTGCTTGGGGTTGTGCTCAGAGCCTCATATGGTATCAGTGATAGAACTCAAGCTCCAACATGCAGAGCAGGTGCCCTTTGAGCTCTCTCACCTGATCCATAATTTGTTTTATAATGAATATTTCAAGCTGGCAGAAAAGCAGAAATAGTACAACAAACACTATATGACAGTTGCCTAGTTTTGTCAAAGCTTTAATTTTTGTTTTATTTGCTTCAGATTTGCGTTTGTTTTGGGGCCATACCGCCACTACCCTCCCCAAAGTACTGTAATAAACATCTTTGCTTATGCCACATAGCTTAAGAAAAAATAGATCAATACAGTTGAATCGGTCTGAGTACCTCTTTTTCTCTAATCACATGCCACTTTTGTTTCACTATCCAATTCATTATTGATCATTCCCTTATACTTTGTCCTTCTGCAATATATATATATATATATATATATATATATATATTATATCCATCACATATATCTATATATGTGATGGGGTTTTTTTTCACTCTTGGGCTACTGCTGGTGATATTTGGGGATCACTCCTGGAGTGGCTCAGGGGGCAATATGAGGTGTCAGGGATCAAACCAGGGTCATCTGCGTGCAAGGCAAACACACTACCCCTGTACTATGACTCTGGCCCCTGTGACTTTATTTTTAACTTTATATTTTAACTCTGCACTAGGCTGTGGGGCAGGTGAGAGCCCTCCCCACCCCAAGGGACCCAATCCCGGCAGCTGACCTCCACTACCCAACCACCGCCACGCTCTAGGTGGCTTTTTGGACCGCACAGCTTCGCGGTCGTGTGACACATTATAAGACACTTCCAACCCATTTTCCACAATTACTACACCATATCTAATGGGGTTCAGACAGTAGGCAACAAATCATTGAGAAAAAGAAATAAATATATGCCTCTCGGAGAGCCCAGCAAGCTACTGAGAATATATCGCCCTCACAGGCAGAGCCTGGCAAGCTCCCTGTGGCATATTCGATATGCTAAATACAGTAATGACAACAGGTCTCATTCCCCTGATCCTGAAAGAGCCTCCAATCGTTGGGAAAGACGAATAAGTAAAGGCTGCTAAAAATCTCAGGGCTGGGAGGAATAGAGACGTTACTGGCACCTGCTCAAGTAATTCGACAATCAACAGGATGACAGTGATACAGTGATATTTTAACTTTATATATATTTATATATACACTTTATATATATTTAACTCAATATATTTTTAACTTTATGTGCATGTGTTTCCAGAAATTGAAACCAGGGTACTTTTACTATAAATGGATGTGACTTATTTATTTATTTTTTGCCAACCTGGCACTGCTCAGGACCTAATCCTGGCTTTGGGCTCAGGAATTACTCCTGGCAAGCTCTGGGCACCATATGGGATGCTGGGGATCAAACTTTGGTTGGCAGCATGCAAGGCAAACACCCTATCTGCTGTACTATTGCTCTGGCCCTGTCAATTTATTTTTTAACTCTTTTCTTTTTTTTCAGTGTGGGGATTGAAACTAAGACCTCACATATCCAAGATTCAGCTCTACTGCTGAGCTGCATACCCAGCCAAGATGTGACTATTCATTTTAAAATACACATTTGAGCCTTGAATTTTTTTCTATTTTAGCCTCTGTATAGTATTATCTATGAATGGTGCTCTTTACCTGGCTTGCTGCACACAACAGTCTGCATCTTGCGGGAGAGGTTTGTTAGCTCACATAAGAAGTTAAAAACACGGTGACACTCAAGTTCATCCCAACCTGCTGTTAATGTCTGAGGATAAGAAAATAAAGAAAACATTGGAGGTATTCAGACTTTCAAGTCAGAAACCTAAGTCACTACTGGCCATAACCATTCTAAGTACCTGACTAAAGTCAAATACAATTTTCAGTTATTATAAAACTGTTCAAATTAATATGAAAATTTACATTAACAAAAACTACAAATGTTATAAAACTCTGCTTATTTTTGGTTATAAGAGGAGTTTCAGAGAACTTCTAAATGATACCAAATACTGAACTCTTGACAGTATGAGGAAATAAAGTAAAGGTCCAAACCCTAGAACACAGCCTTAAGTTTTAAATTGAGTTTGGGGCATTAAGAAAACAAAACAACACAAAACCCCTAGAACACTGCTTGAGACATCCAATTTTAAATTATACTGTGCTTAGTTTTAGACTACAGTAGAACCCTCTCCCACCCTCCTTTAACTATCATTTATGTTATAGAACACAAATGATAAAGATCTCACTTTAATGTGTTATGACAGATAGATGTGAATAAGAAAAAAAATCATATATATTTTTTGTGGTGCTGTGAATTGCACCCAGTGCTTCACACATGCAGGCAAGTGCTCTACCATTGAGATATATCACTGCTCTAAATTTTTTTGGGGGCGGGGGGAATTATTCATTACATCCAGTGGTACTCTAGGGCTTTTTTGGGGAAGATTATGTGGTGTTGTGATCAAACCAGGGTCAGTCATATGCAAGGCAAGCTCCTTAATCCTTGTATCATTTCTCCATCCCTGGAAAAATATTTAATTTTAAGTTTTAATTTTTTGTAAATAGAAAGATTTATTGAAAATTCAAAGGGAAAGGAAAAGAAACTCCACTAGGAAACAACCTAGTATAGGACTAAGTTCTGGAAAAAATATTTTTATTAGGAAAGAACTTAGTAATTATTTTTGAGCAAACCAGAATGTACAGATAAACATATATGAGAAGAAAATTCAGATGATACACCATTATTATAATTGGGAATTTTTGTTTTATTTTTTTTATTGCTGGGGGTTAGCCCCAGGGCTTCATAAGTGAAAATGTTCATTCTACCAGTGTACTATATCCCTGGCCCTACACTTAGCCTTTCAAGTGTAATTAAAAGTCTAATTAAACTAACAGTTTCAAAAGTCTAATTAAACTAACAGTTTTTTCAAAATACATGGACAAATTACAGTAAATTAAATTTTAAAAAATCTTATTTCTTATTCATATTTTAGGATCATATCTGGCGGTATTAAGGGCTTAATGTTTTGTTGAAGGAAAGTCAATGGATGAGGAACAGCCTGAGACTTTTCATTTTCTACCATTTTGTACCTTTTGAGTTTTACATAAATGTATGTCTTAATTTATCTGTTCAAAAGAAACAACACAAAAAGCAAAAATCTAAATTGGAAGAGGACTAGTAGCAAGATATAGTCCTCTGAAAGCTGGCTATGAGATGGCGACTAATCAACTAACTGTAATATAGAATATGACAACTGTAAACCTCATAAGGGCCCAGAATGATAGTATAGCAAGTAGGTCGCTTGCTTTGGATTTGGATGCAGTCAACCCAGTTTCAATCCCCAGCAGCCCATATAGTCCTGCCAGACCACTGCCAAGAGTAACTCCTGATCCTAGAGCCAGGAGTAATCCCTGAGCCCCTGAGGATTGACAAGTATGACTCAGCTTCAATAGTTTATTTCTTTTTCTTTTTTTTTTTCTTTTTGGGTCACACTCGGTAATGCACAGGGGTTACTCCTGGCTCTGAACTCAGGAATTACTCCAGGTGGTGCTCAGGGGACCATATAGGATGCTGGGAATCAAACCTGGGTCAGCCGCGTGCAAGGCAAACACCCTACCCGCTGTGCTATCTCTCCAGTCCCTCCAATAGTTTATTTCTTAAAAAAACTTCTTTCTTGGTAAAGCACTTGCCTTGTACACATGTGGCTGTGGCAGCCATGACAATGGTGCGAAATGGTAGAAATAAGCAATCAAAGAAACACAAAGACAAGCAAGTGAGATACATGTTCAAGAGCAAACTCAGGCTTGAAGAGCAAGTCACAAAAAGTCTTGTATTTTTTGGGCCACGCAAGTCTTTCTTGTATTTTTTGGCAGTGCTCAGGGGTTACTCTTGGCTCTGTACTTAGGAATTACTCCTGGAGGTGTAATACAGGGGACCAGATGGGATGTTGGGGATTGAATCTAGGTCAGCTGCCTGCAAGACAAATGCCCTACCCATTGTACTATCACGCTGGTCCCCAAAAGTCTTTCTTTTGTTGTCTAGCTTATTATTAATACATAATTGTATAAAAATTCTTAAAAAATTAAAAATTAATTTTCTATTTTTGGTCCAACTTATCATATAGTTGATGTATAGCATTGTGCAAAGCTAAAGGTATACAATTTAGTGCTTTTATATCCTCTAATCCAAGGGAATATGTTCTTCAAAGACCTCCAGAGAATATCTGAAGCTGCAGATAGTACAAAACACTATATGAACTTTTTTTCTATACATACTTATGATAATGCTTACTTTAAAAATTAGGCATAGTAAGGTATTACTAGTAACAAAAAATAGAACAAATATAACAATATATGTTATAGTAAAAGTTATATCAATGTTATCTCCACTCTCAAATCATCTTATTGAACTTAATATTTATAGACTATAGTTAACTGTGGGCAACTGAAACTGCAGAAAATGAAACAAGGTAATTGGAAACATTATATCTGTCACTTCTCATAATTACACTTTTTCCATATGTTGATTTTTAAATTTGCTCTTTAAATAAGTAAATACTAAAAAATCGTTAAACAAATACACACACCCAGGCCACGATATTTACAGTCTCTTTAGATGGCTGGAAACTTCAAGAAAATAGGTATAGTCCATGGGACTGGAGAGATAATACAGTGTGTAAGGCTCTTGCTTTCCATATAACTTACCCAGGTTCAATCCCTGGTATTCCATATGGTCCTGTAGACCCACCAGGAGTAAACAGAGCCAGGAGTAAACCCTGAGCACAACTGGGTGTGGCCCCCAAACCAAAACCAAACCAAGACAAAAATTACGGTCACGGGTCCTCCCGTTGTTCATGGATTTGCTCGAGTGGGCCCAGTAACGTCTCCATCTTGAGATTTGTTGTTACTGTGTTTGGCATATTGAATACATCATGAATAGCTTGCCTGGCTTTGCTGTGTGGGCGAGATACTCTCAGTAACTTGCTGGGCTCTTCAAGAGGGGCGGAGGAATCGACACCGGCTCAGCCGGGCCTGGCTGGCTGTGCGCAAGGCAAATGCCCTACCGCTGTGCTATCATTCCAGCCCAAGACAAAAATAACAAGAAAAAAGAACAGGTACAGTACAAACAAAAATAATTCTTGGGGCTGGAGCTGTAGTACTAAATAATATAGTATATATATAAAAATATAGTACTAAAATACTGGTAGGAAATTTTGCTTTGCACATGGCAACCTGTGTTTGATTTCCAGCATCCCTGAGCACCATCAGGAGTAATTCCTGAGTACAAAACCAGAAGTAGCTCCTGGGTATTACCGGGTGTGACTCAAAAAGCAAAATAATAAAGAGTAAAAATTCTTAATCAATGATAAATCAAAGAAAAGAATCTGATCACAAACATTAGATTACCTGACAAATCAAACATTATTAGATTTACCTGACAGATTCTCAAGTCTTTACAATGCAGTTGTCAGTTTAGGTTATTCTTATCTTTATTAGGTTATGGGAGGATAGGTTACATGAGTTACTTGTTAATTGTTTTAAAAGTATTTCTGTTCTTCATTTAAAAAATATACCTGTAGGGCCGGAGAGGTGGAACAGTGGGTAGGGTGCTGGCCTTCTATGAGGTCAACCCAGGTTCAATCCCTGGCACCATTATGGTCCTCAAAGCCCACTCGGAGAGATCCCTGATTGGAAAGCCTTGAGCAAGCCCTGAATACCTCTAGCTTGTGCCCCAAAATGCCCCAAAACAAGAAAAACAAAAACAAAAATGTACCTGTAAAAATATGCCATAGCATGATAAACCTAAACACTGCAATGGAGCTGCACAGCCACTGAATTTAAAACAGGGAACCTACAATGAGAACAACTGTTAATTCTTCCTCCTCAGTGGAACTATATAATGATTTGATATTCAAATTTATTGAATATACGTAATATTTTTTCAGTATTAACTCAAAATAACTTAAATGCTGCATAACTAATTAAGATAGGCTAGATTAGAGTTAATAGAAGATGTATTAAATGTTCTGCCTTCAAACATCCGGTAATTTACCTGGAAAACAAAGTACACATATGAAATTATATTGATAATTCATGTTAGGTAATATACAAATGATAAAATGGTTAAATAAACACTACCTCAGACATCAGGAAAGCAGGAAAAGGAACAATTTTTGAATATCAGAAAAACTTATAAAGGATATAACAATATGTAACAAATGGATAACAGATATAACAAATAGAAAGGATTGGAATACCAAACAAACACAAAACTGCATGTAACTATGGACCACAGAGATAGTATAGTGGGTAAGGCACTTGCCTTGTATGTGGCTGATCTGGGTTTGATCCCTGGTACCCCACATGGTCCCCTGAGCCACCAGGAGTGATTCCAGAATTCAGAGTCAGAAATAAGCCCTGATGAGCACAGCTGCATATAACCACCCCCCCCAAAAAAAAAATCAACCAACAAACAAAAAACTTTTATTTCTGTATATAACTAGAAATTAAAAAAAGAAAGATATAACTAGCTTTATTGACTAAAGTTACCATTGTTAAAAGGCAGTACAGTACCTCATGATGTCTCATTGATAAAAAAAAAAGGCAGTACAGTGGTTAGGGCATTTGCTTTGTAAGAGGCCGACAGGGTTCAATCCCCAGTATTCTATATGGTCCCTGGGGCCTGACAGGAGTGATCATTGCGCATTGCTGGGTGTGGCCCCCAAACAAAACAAAAATGAGTATTGTATCTTACATTAGTATACATTAGTGGGCTGGAGCGATAGCACAGCGGTAGGGCGTTTGCCTTACACGCAGCCAACATGGCCGACTTGAGTTCGATTCCTCCTCCCCTCTCGGAGAGCCCGGCAAGCTAACGAGAGTATCTCACTCGCACGGCAGAGCCTGGTAAGCTACCCGTGATGTATTCGATATGCCAAACGGGAAAGGGTGGGTTTGGGGCCACACCCCTGATGTGCTTAAGACTTACTCCTGGCTCTGTGCTCAGGGGTCATACTTTGTACTGCTTGAGGGGTCATACAGGGTACCCAGGAGAGAATCCAGGTATGTATCTTACCCACTGTAGTATCTCTCTGACACCTAACTTTTTTACTTCTAATTTTAGCCACAGTCAGCAGTACTCAGGGTTTATCCATAGCTCTGTGCTTAGGTATCATTTCTGGTGGTGTTCAAGGTATCATATGGACTGCCAGGGATCAGAGTCAGGTAGAATGAATGCAAGGCAAGCACCTTACTCACTCTATTATCTCTCTGGTCCCTAGTATAGACTTGGGACCTTATTTTGATTAGAGTGAGAAACCACAGAAAGATTTTGTTTGTTTTGGAGTCATGGGGCTCCAAAACAAACATACCATACTTGGTGATATTCAGGTATTACCCCTGGCTCTGTGCTCAGGGGACCATGTAGGGTGACAGTAATAGAACATGTGTGGCCATATGCCTTACCTGATGTACTATCTCTCCAACCCTTGAGAGATTTTTTTTGAGGGGTACCTTTTAAGCAGGCTGGAGCCATAGCATAGTGGGTAGGGCATTTGCCTTGCATGCGGTCGGCCCAGGTTCGATTCCTCCACTCTTCTTAGAGAGCCTGGCAAGCTACCGAGAGTATTCCGCCCACACGGCAAAGCCTGGCAAGCTACCAGGCATATTTTGGCATATCGATGTATGTAACAGCAAGTCTCAGAATGAAGACATTACTGGTGCCCACTCGAGAAAATCGATGAACAAGGGGAGGACAGTGCTACAGTGCTACCTTTTACGCAGTGTTCAGGTTGCTCAGAGGCAACTCAACTCACGACTTGCCTGGCTGCTCAGTAATGTGGTGCCTCTTTGGCTCAGTAGTGCTTGGGAACTCCTAGGGCCACACCTGGTGTGGTGCGGGGTGATATGTAATATCCAGGATTGAACTCAGGGCTTAGTGCCTTCACTGAAAGATCGCTGTCCTCCCGTTGTTCATCGATTTGCTCGAGCGGGCCCAGTAACATTGTGAGACTTGTTACTGTGTTTGGCATATTGAATATGTCACGGGTAGTTTGCCAAGCTTTGCCGTGTAGGTGAGATACTCTCAGTAGCTTGCCGGGCTCTCTGAGAGGGGCGGAAGAATCGAACTTGGGTTAGCCATGTTGGCTGCGTGCAAGGCAAACGCCCTACCGCTGTATATGCATAAACACCAAAATTCAGCGTGCAATCTCCAGAAAGCACTTCAACTAAAAACATGTGTTGGGACTGGCAAGATAGTGCAGCAGGTAGGGCATTTGCCTTTCACATAGCCAACCTAGGTTCAATCTCTGGTGGTACTCAGGGAACCATATGGGATGCTGGGAATCAAACCCGGGCTGGCCGCGTGCAAGGCAAAAGCCCTACCCACTGTGCTATTGCTCCAGGCCCCCTTTTTACTATCTTATTCTTCACCCTCCAATATATTCTGTATGCTGAAGCAGGGTGTCTTCCTAAAATATTACTTTCATCAACTGAATGTTTTTCTTCTTAAAAAATTCCCTCCTTTTATACTATATGACTTTGAAATCCAATAATTAATGGTTTTGTAATGCTCTATCCCACAGTGATTCAATAAAAAAGTTTAAAAAAAAATCCCTCCTTTCTCCTCTCCCCTTCCCTTTGTTGTTATGATAGCTGGGACTATAATATACTCCTAGCTGTGGTGCTCACTGGGAGTCACACACTTACTGCAGTGTGTGCTCCTTTAGATTGCAGTGCTGGCACACATGCTTACATAGAGACATACTCTTTAGTTGAGTCACAGTTGGGGGTAGAACCTCCTGGATATGGGGCCACAAAAAGCAAAAAAAAAAAAAAGCCAGGAGTAACCCCTGAGCATCGCTGGGTATGACCCCCCCACCAAAAAAAGCAAAAAAAAACCAGTACTGGGGTATATGGGGGTGGCTAAAAAACTCATTTGAATTGAAAAAATAACAGCTAAATTTTAATAAAGCCATAAGTTATTTACATTTTATGTATTTTTTGGGGACACTCCCTGCAGTGCTCAGGGTTTATTCCTGCCTCTGAACTCATGGAACACTCCTGGTAGTTCTCAGGGGATTATATGTATTGCTGGGGATCAAAACTGGGTTGGTCATGTGCAAGGCAAGTGCCCTAGCCACTGTTCTATTGTCAAAATTATTTTTATTTTAATAAAATATATAAATAACCACTTTTTTTCAGGGGAGGGACACACCAGTGATGCTCAGGGGTTATTCCTCGCTCTGCACTCAGGAATTACTCTTGGCAATGCTTGGGGTGCCATATGGGATGCTGGGTATTGAAGCCGTGTCAGCCACTTATAAGGCAAATGCCCTACCTGCTGTATTATCACTCCGCCCTTCCTCCCAAGTACTGTGTTTCAAACCCTTTTTACTATCTTTTTTTTTTTCTTTTTGGATCACACCTGGCGATGGGATACCAGGAACTGAACACAGGTCAACTGCATGCAAGGCATGTGCCTTACCTGCTGAACTCTCTCTCTGGCCCCTAAATATGCACTTCTTTTTGGGGAGTGGCGGAACCTCCCAAGAAGAGCTCAAGAAGCCTCTTAGAGATTCTGGGTCCACCAGACTGGCAGAGCAGTTCAATGAGAGTCCAAGGAGGCAGGCCCTACGGTGCCAGGGTTTAACCAGGCCACCCAGTAGTGCTCAGAATTCTCTAGGGCTTCCACTAATATACCAGGTGGTATAGAATCTAACCAGAGTTGTTTGTATACAAGGCATGTGCCTTATCCCCTATATTCTCTCTCAGGCCCCTAAACCACCAATTGAAAACACTCTCAGAACTCCCATGTAGAAAAAAAAATTTATAAACATGATAAAACCAACAAAATTTAATACTATACTTAATTATATTTAAAAATTGTTTTGAAAGGGCTGGAGAGATAGTATAGTGGGTAGTGTGCTTGTCTTGCACATGGCAAGCTTGGGTTCTATGCCCAGCACCCCTTATGATCCCTTGGTCCCACCAGAAGTGATCCTTGAATGCAGATTTAGGAGTAAGTCCTGAGCACTGCTGGGTGTCACTCCCCTCACCCAATTAAAATAATTGTTTTGAGGAACTAAGTCACATTGTCATGAATGTGCACTGACCCCAGTTCAATCCCTTGACCACAGTACCTGCAGGAGTGACCACTGGGAACCACCAGGTCTGGCCCCCAAATAATAAGAATTGTTTTACTATAAGTAAAAGGCAATTGTAAGAAAATTGTTTTATAATCTCCAAGTATTTGAGAAAGTATTATATTATCATCATTTTGTAGAACAAATTAATGAAAATATACCAATTAAAGATAGTTATAAATGAGTATAGACATTAAGAGAAAAACATCTTTACTAAAAATCAAGATTATAAACTAATTGATATGATCTTACTTCTGTGAGTATCTTGTTAATGTACTTTAGTCTTTCTTTAGTGGGTAGCAGCAATGTACATCTTTTAAATAGCAGACCTGAGAAAATTAAAGAGACATATGACAAAAGTGATATCAACAATGCAACTAACTTGTGAATATTTAAGAAGCATAGCATAGGGCCGGGGGTGTGGCTCAGTAGTAAAGTACATGCCTTGTATATGTATAGCCCTGAGTTTGAGCTCCACCTCTGCAACAAAATTAAAATTAAAATTATGGGCCTGGGAAGACAGTACAGGAAAAAAGGTGCAAAACACTTCTTTGGTGCTTACCAAGTGACACTGATATTTAAGAGTCACTGGTATAAAACTTTATAGGGCCAGGAGTAAGCCCTGAGCACAGCTGGTGTGACCGTACCCCAAAAGAAAGTGTTAGAATGATAGTACAGTCAGTAAGGCACTTGTCTTGAATGTAACCAGCCCAAGTTCAATTCCTGGGCACCCTAAGCCCCACCAGGAGTGTTGCCTAAATGCAGAGCCAGGAGTAAGGCCTGAGTACTGCCTGGTGTGGCCCAAAATAAAACAAAAAAAATTATGAATTATTGGGACTAGGGAGAAGGTTCAAGGGGTGATCTTACAAGTGCCCAGGTTCAATCCTGGATCTGCAGTTTCCTATGTAATACCAATTGACCCAAAAACCAAATTTATGAAATTGAGGGGCTGGGATTGTGGCTCAGTGGTACAGCTCATGCCTTGAATGTTTGAGGCCCAAGGTTTAATCCCCATCTCACTACCTCTTGTCCCACACTGCAAAAAATAATGGGGGGGGGGCAGATAGTATGGCAGGTCATGAAATTGATATAATCCTAGTTCCATCCTCAGTATCACATATGGTACCATCAGGTGTGAACACTGAGTATAAAACTAGGAATTAGACACTGAGTATTATCTGGTTTGTCCCAAAGATATCCCTCTCCCTCCAAGAAAAAAAGAATTTTATACTATGGGTATAGCTGTCACTGTCACTGTCCTCCCATTGTTCATCGATTTGCTCGAGCGGGCCCAGTAACGTCTCCATCGTGAGACTTTGTTGTTACTGTGTTTGGCATATCGAATACGTCACAGGGAGCTTGCCAGGCTTTGCTGTGCAGGCGAGATATTCTCGGTAGCTTGCCGGGCTCTCTGAGAGGGGCAGAAGAATCGAACTCAGGTCGGCCATGTTGGCTGCGTGCAAGGCAAACACCCTACCGCTGTGTTATTGCTCCAGCCCATGGGTATAGCAAAATATTTAAATTTTAAAAGATACAATAAGGACCAGAGTGATAGCTCAATGGCCTGGATAGAATGCTTTGCATGCAGGGGCCAAGGTTCAACTCTTGGTATTGCATAGTCTCCAGAGCACATAAATGGGAGTGGTACCTCCTAAGTACTAATGGGTGTGGCTCAAAAACAAACAATGATCATAACAAAAACCTTTAAAAAAATGACCACACAAAATATACAAGGGAGGGGCTGGAGAGATAGAAGGTAGAGCACTTGACTTGCACACACCAGACCTGGGTTCAATCCCCAGCATCTATATGGTCTCCTGAGCCCCACTGGGAATGATCCTTAGGAACAGAACTACAAGGCTTCTTCTTTTTGGGAGGTGTGGCCCACACCTGGAGGTGGTCAGGGTTTACTCCTGACTCTGTGCTAAAGAATTATTCTTGTCAGAGTTTGGGGATCATATGGGGTGCCAGGGATTAAACCCAGTCGACTGTAAACCCCCTACCCATTCACTATCACTGTGGCCCCATTCTCTCTCTCTCTCTCTCTCTCTCTCTCTCTCTCTCTTGTATTAGGTAACATGTTTTACAATCAGTTTCCATATTATCTAAAACTACTCAGCTATGAGAAAAGAGGAAATCATGCAGTTTGCTGCAACCTGGCCATCACCAAATGATCTCGCTTATATGTGGAATATAAAGAAAGACAAAAATAGAATATTTAATAAAAGAATCCATCCACTAGAGAAAAAAAATGAGAGGGGGGCCTGCATAATCAGTAGTGTACAGGGATTGCCCTGGCAGTGTTCGATTGATGTGGTGGTAGTAGGGATTTAACCCAGGCATACAGCCCCTTGAGCCACCTCTCTAGTTCTAAGAAAAAAAATTTTTTGTTTGATTTTTGTAGCAGTTTATTACAAGGAAGTTTATCCCATATAAGAAATTTATGTTATGGAGGGCCTAGGTTCTCTCAAGCACATGTTCTCCTTGCTAGTCTCTGTGGTCCATCTTGTAGCCCTGCTCTCTCTTTCTCCAGCTCCCTTGTCTCTCCAACTCCCTTGCAGTCTGGACTGATCCTCCACTAAAAAAAATATTTTTAAGAGTTGTTAATGTAGGGTCTGGAGCGATAGTACAGAGGGTAGGGCGTTTGCCTTGCACGCGGCTGATCCGAGTTCGATCCCCAGCATCCCATATGGTCCCCTGAGCACCGCCAGGAGTAATTCCTGAGTGCAGAGCCAGGAGTAACCCCTGTGGATCGCCAGGTATGACCCTAAAAGCCAAAAAAAAAAAGTTGTTAATGTAGGGACCACATAGATAGTACAGGGATTAAGGCTCATGCCTTGCATATGGCTGACTCAAGCTTGATCTCTGCTACTACATAAAGCAGCACCTTATCCTCAGGCTTTCAAATTGACTGACTAACTGAGAACTGAGGAGAAGGCTCCCAACCTCTGAGTACTACTTTGGGAGGCCTTCTTTATAATTGAAAAAAAAAAAAAAGAAAGAAAAGGAGTTGAAGGACCAGACAACAGTACAACCATATATGGCATTTGCCTGCACATGGTTCACCTGGGTTCAATTCCTGGCATCCCATATGGTCCCTCTAGCACTGCCAGGAATAATTACCGAGTGCAGAGCCAGGTGTAACCCCTGAGCACTGCCAGGCATGGACCCCAAACAAACAAACAAAAAACAAAAGAGAGTTGATAACGTAAAACATGAAAAAAAAGTGAATATAGCTGCAATTGTATTCTCTTTAAATAAGAAATTTAAAATCATAAGTACTTAAAAGTTTCAGAGGTCAGAAGTCAGTTTTGCTCACAGAAAGTATCCAGTTTGGATGAAATACCGTTCTCTTTGACATTATCCTTTTATGGGGCTTGCATGTTAAGAATGTATAGAATTTTGTGTTCACATATTTTAAAAGGGAAAAAAAAGTCTTTCAACTTCCCAGTGAGATATGTAACTTCAATTACAGGAAATGTATGATTCGTTTCCTCTAACTTTTAAAGTATTCTGTCTTCCTAAAATGGCAACACACTATTACATTCCTATAATGGCCAAATGTTCTAAAACTATAAATAAGATATACTGTAGGAAAACATATACTTGAATGTCATTAACCTTTTTTTAGGGGGGACACACCAAGCAGTGCTCAAGGCTTCACTCCTGGTGTGCTCAGGGGGCCAGGGTTGGCCATGTGCAAGACAAGTGCCTTAACCCCTTCACTATCTCTTAGCCTCTGCATTTATTTTTTAAATTTTTATTAGTGAAACACCATGAGGTACAGTTGTAGACTTACAAATTTTTGTTCTTGGGTTTCAGTTATACAATGATCAAGTACCCATCCCTCCACCAGTGCCCATTCTCTACCACCACTAATCCCAGTATCCCTCCCACCCCCTATCCCCCCATCCTCCCCTGCTTCTGTGGCAGGGCATTCCCTTTTATTCTCTCTCTGCTTTTGGGTGCTGTGGTTTGCAAAAGAGGAATTGAATGGCAATCATGTTCAGTCTATAGTCTACTTTCAGCATGCGTCTCCCATCCTGGGCAGATCTTCCCAACACCCTTTATTTGGTGCTCCCTTCTCTATCTGAGCTGCCTTTACCCCTAGGGTGTGCAGCTGGCCTCCAAGCCATGGAGTAAACCTCCTGGTACTTAGGCTATTCTTGGGTGTTCCTATTTTGTTACTTTATGTTCCCCAGATGAATGCAATCTTTCTATGTCTGTCCCTCTCTTTCTGACTCATTTCACTTAGCATGATACTTTCCATGTAGTACCACTTGTATGTAAATTTCATGACTTCATCCTTTCTAATAGCTACATAGTACTCCATTGTGTAGATATACCAAAGTTTCTTTAACCAGTCATCTGTTCTCAGGCACTCAGGTTTTTTTTTCCAGATTCTAGCTATTGTAAACAGTGCTGCAATGAACAAACAAGTGCAGATGTCACTTCGACTATACTTTTTTGCCTCTCTGGGATATATTCCCAGAAGTGGTATTGCTGGGTCAAATGAGAGCTCAAATTCTAATTTTTTGAGAATCGTCCATACTGTTTTCCAAAAGGGCTGAACCAGTCAGCATTCCCACCAGCAGTGAAGAAGGGTCCCTTTCTCGCCACATCTACGCCAACACCAGTTGCTTTTGTTCTTTTGGATGTGGGCCAGTCTCTGTGGTGTGAAATGATATCTCAATGTTGTTTTGATCTGCATCTCCCTGATGATTAATGATGTAGAGCAATTTCTCCTGTGCCTTTTAGCCATTCGAATTTCTTCTTTGAGAAAATTTCTGTTCATTTCATTGCCCCATTTTTTGATGGGGTTGGATGTTTTCTTCTTGTGGAGTTCAACCAGTACTTTGTATATCCTTGGTATCAACCCCTTGTCAGATGTGTATTCGGCGAATATCCTTTCCCATTTTGTAGACTGTCTTTGTATTTTGTGCATTTATTTTTTAACATCACAACTACTTTATAAAATTGTGCATCTATGGGAAATGTATTTTAATTTTACTTATTTTTTGTTTTTGCTTTGGGGCCACTCCCGGAAATGCTCAGGGATTTTATTTATTTTTAGAATTTATTTATTTATTTTAGAGGTTGCTAAATTTATTTTTAGAAGTTGCTATGTAACTCATGACCAGAACTGAATGTTTACTTTTTAGTTTAGGGTGTTTTTTTTTTTTTCAAAGTCACATCTGGCATTGCTCAGGGTTTATTCCTGGTTTTGTGCTCAGGGGACTATGATGTGAGGGATCGAACTTGTATCGGCTACCTGTACGGTAAGCACCCTATCCTATCGCTCAAGGCTCTGCCCATTTAAAAAAAAATG